AGTCTTCCTGACTCCAGACCCAGAGCTTTATCCATTGTGCCACCTAGATGTCCTAGCCTAACCCCCTTCAATATTTACCCATCCCTTGCCCCTTCATTTCAAGGTCATTTCCATTCATCCCCTTTCCATGAAATATACTGGTTTTGTTTCTTATCCCTCAGCTTTATCATTTTCCCCTTTCCTTCCCACTCAGGGCAACACCCTTTTCCCCATAATGGCAGTGCTTCAAAAGACAAAGGAAAAAAGGCAGAAACCTTCCCATTCATAAGCCACCCCCACTTCAAAAATTTGGGTACCTCCCGTTTCAAAGGCCATGGAGCTATTGTCTGTTATTTGAAAGGGGCTAATAGCTGTTATTAATTAAAATATCTGAAGTGGCTTTGAAGAGGAAACCATTAAGGCAGCTATGCTGGGGGACTACACGAGGAAACTCTTGGGGGGGTATGGAGCAAGGGGGGGAAGCAAATGAGTTAGAAACATTCCATTCCTCTCTAGTTCAGGGTGCTAGTTACCAGTAGGATCAGGATCCAACTGCTTCTTACTCTCAGTGGTCTGTAAGGGGCCATAGTTAAGGGAAGAAAGGAATGGAAATGATAGCATTAGTTAGGATTAACTACTAAACATTCCTGACAAGAGTGAGTTTGGGTACCCTGCACAGCCCTAATCTCCCTGGGAGAAGGGCTGAAGGCAACACCTTCATTCAAGTGGACCCTGGAGGAAGGCACAAGGAGGGACAATAGATGGGGCAGTGTCTTTTGAGTCAGGCAAACTGTAGCCAAGCAAGAGAACCCCAATGCCAGGTATTCAATGTTCAGAGTAAGCTGAGTCCCATGAGGTAAGAGGGACAGAAGGTAAATATCAACCCAAGTAAAAACCTAGGATCAGTTTTTCTGACTTTATCCAGTGATTCCAGGCACATCAGTCTGCCCTAGGTCCTGGGACTGGACAACAACTACAAGCTCATCCCCTTTAGTGGGGCCCAGGCAGGAAGTGAAGAATTTTACAAAGCTCCATTCTAAACAACTTCAGAGTGGGCCTAATCCCTTCCTAATGCAATCGGCCTCTAAAAGGCTTTATTATATGCTTGGCAAACAAGCTCCCATTAACTTCTTTCCAAGTACTTGGGGCCTCACCCTGCAGCAGACCTCCCTAACCCAGCAGAGAGACTGAAGCCTAATGGCCAGGCTTCTATGAGAAACCAGAGGCTAACTGGCACCATTACCGCAGTGGAAAGCCAATCCAACTGGTCGTGACATCAACTGCTGCATCTGATACCCTCCCCAAAGCACACATGGGACATTCCCATATCATTCTTTTGATTGAGCTAGGATTCTATTTGGCACACCATGGAACAGAACCCACTATCAACCAATACCCAGGTTGGGGAACAGCCATAGTACCTGGAAGAGAGTCAGTGTGTTGTCACTCAGGATGGTTTTTGGAGGAGCAAGGACTGTGGAGAGAAAAAGTTGATTAGGTTAAGAATAATCTCTCCCCTCACTTTTTCTACCTCCCAAAACAAAGAAGCCAAGATATAGAGGCAAAGTGGAATGGAAGAATTACTGATATCACCCAAACTGACCCAAACCATTGGGTGGCAGCATCGTATCTTGTGTATGGAGGAGGGAAGGCAGGTTCAGAATAAGTCACTGACTTAGACATGACTCAGTCATACAAACTGTAGTCTCTGCCCTCCCTTAGTGAGTGACTCTTCTAAGCAGCAGAAAATTTGGGAAAGGAAAATTACTACTTGGGGTAGCTTCCCCACCATTATCTCAGGAACTGAAAGGGCTCTAAGAAAAGGGAGGAAGGAGAAATCAAGAAAGAACTTACACAGGTAAAAGGACAATTCAGGATTTCCCAGGTGACTTCTCACAAAGTCTCGCAAATCTCCTACTGTTAGACAAGATGAAAGAAGGATTAAAAGGGGAAGATACATCAGTACTTTAGCAGGACAGAACCTAGCTTCTATGACTTAGCTACAAAGAACCATAAAAATATTTTAAGATGTGGGGTCCCTGACTCTCTCCCATTTCCCTTTAGGATGGGATCTAGGAAGTGGGAAGGGGCCAGTGACTCTGGCTTAAAAGACATTTTTTCCCAGACCCTCCATCAGCCTTTCAATCTTAGCCTGCAGAATTTAGAAATTAACTCTGAGATGTCTATCAGTAGCACACTGTGTTGCAAAAGGTGGCAATGACATTTTCATTCTCTGCATTTAATCCAAGCATCAGTAAAAAGAAATGGAACCCTATTCATCTCACACGGTCTGAATGCACTCATCCTTGGGAGTGCAGGGAAGTGGTGCAGGAAGGCAGCTGTTAACCAGCAGGGACTCCCTTACTACCAAAATATCAGGGACTCTATATGTAGAGGTGCTAACACTGGGAGCTATGAGGGAATGCCAAATTGTGTCTTCAGCATAAACATAAACGGTCTTTCTTTCTCTACACTGTTTACAATCTATAACCTTAATTCTGAGCTCTCTTCATCTGCTCTCTGTTCTATTTCCCCTCTCCTCCTGCTACCTTGAAGCAACCCCACTCCCTCTAGTCTAACTACATACTAAATTTGCAAATATTTGGTGTGGTCCTTGATTAAAATAAGAGTCTGGTATAGGTCTAATGCTTAGTCCAGGAGTACATAGCTAGGTGATAAGGAGACAAAACTAGAGAGGGATGCTGAAAAAAGCATTAATGTACCCTAACTATCTGTATAGTACCTTGACAATCCTTGACAACATCTCCTACTCTCCTCCTTTCATTCAATCCTTGACAATGAGCTGACTCTCTCCTTGTCAACACAAACCCTTGATCTCCCAATCTTCTTCAGAATATATTCTCAATAAATTCTTTTTCACCTCCTCCTCCTCCATCTGTCTGTCTCTCTCTGTATCTTTCCTGCCTTTCAAATATACTTGTCTCCTGCATCATTAAAAAACCTTCATTAGACTCTACTATCATCTTAAACTATTATACGCTTTCCTCCCCCTTTCAGTCAAAAGTCTAGAAAAATCTGTCTACACTCTATGTATCCACTCCTTCCACTCTCACTAACTTCTCAACCCTTTGCAATCTGGCTTCGGACTGCATCATAACTGAAGCTGCTCTTGCCAAAGTTCCCAAATAATCTCTTAGTTGCTAAATCTAAGTTTCTTCTCTCAGTTCTCACTTTTTTCCAACCCATCTGCTGCACCATCTTCTCCCTCCTCAATATACTCTCTTCTCTGGGTTTTCCACCTATCTAGCTACTCCTTCTCAGTATGCCTTTGGTGGTTTATCCACATCATACTACTTAACTGCAGAATCTATCCTGGATCCTCTTCTCTCAATATTGCCTTGATTACTTCATCAACTCTCATGTGTTTGATTATTATCTCTATGCAGACAACTTACAGATCTACAGAGCCAGCCCCAGTATCTCCCTTGGGTTTGGGTCCTCATCATTGTCTATTACACAGACATTTCAAAAAGGATGTCCCAGAGAAATTTCAAAATAAAACTCGTCTTTTCCTCCAAATATACCTCTCTTCTTCCAGGCTCCCAAGTTTATAATTTCAGTGTTACACTCCTCCACTATTCTGTACCCCACACATTCAGTCAGTTGCCAGATCTTGCTATTTCTACCTCTACAATAGCTCCTACATGCAACAACTGTTACCTACTCACACACCACCACTCTAGTTCAGGCCCTCATCACTTCTCAGCTAGATTATTCTAATGACCTCCTAACTAGGCTAGCTCCAATTTGTCTTTCCAACCTCACTATTCATTACTTCCCCTCCTTCACACTGAAAATCAGCCAAAGTGACTTTTCTTCTATTTCTCACACATAGTATGACATCACCTGAATCTGTACTTTTCTCATGCCTGGAATTCATTCCCTGCTCAGCTCTGCCTCAAAAGAAGTCCTCTCTTCCTTCAAGACATAGCTCAAGTGTCACTTTTTACATGAAGGTTGATCTTCACCCTTCCAACTCTCAGTGCCCTCCCTCCTAAACTACCTTATATTGTCCCCCCCCAACTTCTGTAGAGCTGATCTGACCAGTTTTAATGCCATTATTCTGAGGATTTAATCAAAGAATTTTGCTTGTTGTTACCTTCTGTCTTTAATATTTAAGGGTTCTGCCTGCCCCTGACACAATTGCAGCCATAGATGCTGGGTCAAGAGGGTAGGTAGCCTGGGGTTTCAACCCTCTTCTGAATCAGCCCATTCTCACCCTAACCTCCTGCCCTGGGTCCAAACACTCAGGCAATGCAGAAGATACCTAGAGTACAGAGAAGTAATTGAAATTAAGAGTAGAAAGGAAAAAGATACTTGAGATTGTTCAAGCTTTATTACTGCCCACTCAGACAAGGTCAAAGCAGTTATGGGTTGAGTCAATCCATCTTCCCTCAAATAAGAAGGCACCTGGCCTATCCATGGTCTCCAATCTTACTCTTTTCAATAAGGCTGGATCCTTCTGTACCTATTCCATTAGCTCTACTGTCTAGGTAGTCCTTTTCTTATCAGGGCCCACTGGACAAACCAATATATTTTGAGGAAATCAAAGGATGGGAGAGAGAAGTCCCACAATCCCTAATAGCACAACTAAAAGATTCAGTAGCCTAAGGCACAGTCCTACCTGTTTCATTTGGGCGAAAGAAGCCTTGTAGGATGTATCGGTCAGGGAACAGAATTCTCAGTGCAATCTAGGCCAACAGAGACAGCCCACCCCCCAAAATAGCAAGTTCAGATTATCATGAGGAATAGTACCCAGCCAACCCCAAAAACCCTGACCCCAGTTACTTAGAAGAAAAATCCATCAGCTCAGTCTCCTAACACTCCTAAACTCTGTTCCTGAGTTGGCAGAGAACAGGGCAATGCAGACAGTAGAAATCATCATTCCTACCAACAGCTGCCTCATCCCTCTATGATTTTTGCCACATAGTACTGCAGAATCACTCAATTAGGTCCTTACAGGATCCCCATCCCATTCAAAGTTTAGAACTAAAGAGGGCTGGCTGAATTCCCCTAGGGACCAACTTCATATACCTTTGGATATCGTTCCAGTTTTTCTTTCATCTGAGCTTCTCGCAAAGATCTGGTCACCAATGGTGCTTCTTCTAGGCGCTTCCTAAGATAGAAGTAAAACAGAGTAATACAGGAGGTAAAAAGCAGAAGAGGTTTCAAGTTTCTCTCTTCCTACAAAGGGTTCTCAAGTTAGAGCTATTCCTGAAGTTCATTATTTGCCCTGACCCCAGAAGTCTTATTCCTACCCGTAAGTTCTTATTGCCCATGAAAAATGCCAGCATGCTCTGTGAAGCATATTCAGGCAAGACCTAGGTTCTGTGTGTCATGTCCTTATCCCCAGCCAGACCCTGGACATACTAATAGGTGTCACTAAGAGCACACCTCAGGTTTTTGTATCAAAAAGAATAAGCATTAGATCCTGTAGCTCAATGTCCTTTTTTTTTTTTTAAAGTACAGTTAGAAGAAAGGAGACCCTTTCCGGAAGGGAGAGAGGCTTCACCTGGAAAAACATTCTTGGACATATACTTCTTCCTCATCTCCTTATATAGCCTTTGGGAAGTAGGGCCTGAAGACCTTCTGGAAACACAGGACAGATGCAGCAGGATATAAAAATTGAAAGGTAAGGGAAAAGAAGAGAGATGGTAGATGGAAAACCAAAGACCCACCGTTCACTTTTCAACTGAGCCAAGCGTCTCCTCACGTCATCCACAGTGATCTCAAAGAATTCATCAGGAAGCTCTGCTGGCCAGGCCTGGAACAGATCCTCTAGATCTGGGTGGCATACCACCGTCTCTCGCTCCATGGGCTGTGTATTAAGAAGAGAAGTATATAGTTTAGCCACGGTTTTGGAGAACCTATAGGCAAGAATCTTCAACTGTTCATCTCAACTCAGTATCTTAGGGAACACTGTTAGAAAAGCTGCATCCAAGTAAGCTAGGGAGGGCAGGAAAAATGGCATTTGGTACTACTATAATCTACCCTTTTGCTGACCTATGACTATGGGCAATGACTACATACAGGAGACTACATAGTGACTATACATATAGAAGACTATATAGTGACTATATATATAGGAGATTCTATAGCCTAAAACTATTGGCAGCATTAAATCACTATGTGGTTTACACCCTCATGGGATGAAAACAGGCAAGGTTCTCAGAGAGAAGATGTTGAAAGGCTTTCTCCAGAGACAGATGAAGCTCCAATCTTCTTTCTCAGACTAAGGCAGTGGGTATACTCTTTCACCCCCTGGTTTAGAAGGCACACCAAAGCCGTCCTAAGCATTCAGGAAGAGGCCTATGGTCTCCTGGGGATCAGATCGAGATGTCGTTATTGTCACATCTCTTTCTGGAGGTCTTGACCTCTCCTAATGACTAGAACAAGAAAGAATTTGCAAAATTTCTGTTCATGGAGCAGATGGCCCTTTAAGTCTTTACTCGAGCTTGTCCCTGGCTCTTGGCATTTGTGGCTGGGATGAACTGTCATCACTGCTTCCTTCATAGTAAAGTGCTATGAGGAGGCGGGATAAGTAATACCTAAATTACATTCTGTGCACAAATACTCAACAACTATCTACTTTGGCAGGGTACCACACAGGGTCCCAGAGACTACCTGTCACCACCTTTCAGAGATCTATGCCTCTAAAATAGAGGTATCAGGTTGAATAATCCCAGGAAATATGCCACCCCAGACCCATCCATGTCAGGGTCTCCATTCAGTGCAGGGAGGAGCAAGAGCCAAATTAGAGCTTTGGCAAAAACCAGGGCACTGCTGAACTGGCTGCTCCCTCAGACATCCACCACCCTGGCCCACCCTTCCCTCCCCTTCATGAGGCCCCCTCCCTTTGCCCACCCTGGGGACACAGGAAGGGAGAGAGTCACTCCTGACTGTCAGCAAAGACAACACAAATTACAAGGCACAGCCAGCTCCATTTGTGGTCCAACTGAGTAATTTCAGAAAGTTAAACCAGTGAGGTCGTGTGGGTGGGACACCTCGGTGGCTTTGAGAAAGCCCAGTGGAGCCGGGCCTAACTAAAGGGTGAAGGAGCTGATTGTAGCTTTCCTCAGACCCAGAGGAGGCGTATCATCTGCCAATCTTTCCTCTAACAAAACAGCCAGACTCCTTTCTATTTGCCTGCTTTGGCTGCCAGAGGAGACACAGGTGACCTGAGATGGAAAGCAAGTGAGGAGAACAAAGAAGAAGGATAAAGGGAAGAAGCTCATTTTTCTCAGGAGAGGTTTGCTTCACGACGGATTTTGGTACTGGCCCATAGTGGGGCTGTGGCACTCCAGACTCTGTACGTATAGAGAAAATGAACTTCTTCCTTGCTTTGTTCTCTTCAGTTCCCAGTACCTCCTCCTCACCCCCAACTAGGCCTTTGTTTTTGATTTCAACTTCTTTGGAATGACAATCACACATGTCTTGTTTGCTTTCCTGACAATTCTAAAGCAAAAGGATTATTTGGGGACCATATTTTCCATACCCCCCATAACACTATTTTACCATATAAACCCATATCCTGGAACATCTCCCAGCCCTTCTGCTCTTTGAGAGGTGATGCTCTCCATCCTATAGGTACCTAGTCCCCTTTAGTCTGTCTTTCTCTGTCATCCACTGATAGAAATGGATTTCCAGGCTCAGTTTATCTGTTCTCTCTCTGATGCTAGCTGGTCTTAGGCAAGAAAAAGTAAAGGACAATTTCTACTTCCCTGGAAATAAAAGCCTAACATTTGGGGCTTTGGAGAAGGGGAGGGTCTTAGGTAGATAGATCCTTTCATCCAATGTTCAAGTTCATTTCCAGACTACACTGTCTCTCATTCTCACAGTACAATTAATTCAAGGCCAACAGTCCAGAAAAACAGTTGGTAAAAAAGAAAACTCAGAGCCTCCATTGCTCAACTTAAAGCCTCTTCCTGACACAGAGTTAGTTTTTGTTTGTGAAACAAAATAGGCTATGTGTGCATAAATTCCTTACCCCAACATACACTCCCCCCAAATTCTGGACCCTTCTTCTTTATCGCTAGGTGTTTCTCCCCTGGCCAGATCCTCTGCAAATAGCCAACCAATAAGTATTTCTAAAGTACCTACTACGAACCCAGCCATGATCAGTTACGTCTCAACCAGCCTCTTTCTAGGGCAACTAGGTGATGCAGTCCATAGATCACTGGGCCTAGAGTCAGAAAGACCTAAGTTCAAATCTGGCCTTGGGCCACACAGGCTTGTGTCACTGTGTGACCCTAAGTAAGTTACTTAATCCTGTTTGCCTCAGTTTCCTCACCTGTAAAATGAGCTAGAGAAGGAAATGGCGAACCACTCCAGTACCTTTGCCAAGAAAATCCCAAATAGGGTCACAAAGAGTTGGACACGACTGAAACAACTGAACAACAACAGCCCCTGTCACCTTAGCAGATCTGGCCAACCAGATCTGGCAAAGGCCCATACAAAGATGACTCTTAGGCTGCTAACCAAGGCCCCTGGGGTCTCTAAGACTAACCTTTCCAAAGCCACAGCTGACTTCCCAGCCATTGTGGGCAACCAGTGTAAGACTTTTTCATAACAGAATGCTAGGCGCCAGGCTGCCCCCCATGGCCACAGAGCCCACATTCCTAAAAGGCCAGAGAGCCAGCTTCTGTTCCTGGGAGAGAATAGGAGAAGAGAGACATTGCTCCCCAACCCTGAGGCCTGCCTCTCTACCCACAGAGTCAGCCCATGTGGAAAAGGCCGGAGAGGCTGGGCCTAGTTCAGGAACTGCAAGGGCCAAACTGGTACGTGGCAGGTTGGCATTTTGAACTCTTTTCAGGTCCTTTCCCTACAGGAAGTCAAATGGCCTGACTCAGGATCTGTAAAGTGCTTTGGATTTAAAGAGAAGACAAGATCATTACACGGACCTACTAAACATCTCTAGTTTGGGCCATATATTTGAGTAAAAGCATTAAAGAGTGCTTGTCTCACAATCAGGAAGTGCTAGGTTCAAGCCTCACTTCGGTCACATGTTCTCTGGGGGACTCCGAACCACTCTCCCATAGGGCCCCAGGGCAACTTTTGAAGACCACAAGTTGCAGAGAAGGTGCTGCTCAATACTGGTAAAGAAGTTCCTCATTGGGAGCTCCCTTTACTGATGACATCACAGGTCAGGTCAAAAATAAAACACGCAAGCAACTGAATGAAGATTCTATCACCAGGGACATCTCCTCACCAGAAAAACCAGTGCTCTTTTTAACATTTGCAACCAAACCACAGGGCAAAAAGGGGGTAGGAAAGAAGGCAGCTGAGTTTAAATCTGAAAGCAAATGAAGGCACTCAGCTTTCTTCCTTTTCCTAAACACCCTGCATGTTATAGATTCATTGTAACTGCCAAAGAACCAAGTCCTGCCCAAGCAAGGAGGGTGAACATGCCTGACTTTTCTAGCAGAAATAAGAAAGTAACACTGGAGTGTAGTGGAGACACCAGGTACCAAGAAGATCCAGGTGGTTCAAATTACACTTAAGCCACTTGCTGGCTGTTTGACTTGAGCCAAATCACTTATCATTCCTCAACCTCAGTTTCCTCATCTGTAAAATGAGAGGGTGGGACAACACGACACACCTTCCAGCTCTAAATGTAGAAGTCTGCCAATAGCATCTGAGGTAGACCTCATGCAGAAGGCGTCATCTGAGCTGAGCCTTGAAGGAAACCAGGAATTCCAAGAAGGAGGGGTGAGGAGGGACTTCTCAGCACAGCAGACACACTAAGGTCGATGTATTACCATGTGAGGCACAGCAAGAAGACCAGCATGGATGAGTTACAGAATGAATAGAGGAGAATACTGTGAAATAAGGCTTGAAAGGTAGAAAGGGGCCAGTTTAGGGAAAGCTTTAAATAAATGTCAGTTTATAATTGATCCTAGGAGTAATCGGGAACCTCTACTGTTTTCTGTTTTTGTTTTAGTTAGGGGAAAGACATCATCAGACTTATGTTTTAAAAAAAACATTTTGGTAACTGTGGAGTATGGGGTAGAGTGGGAGAGAGACTCAGAAGTAGGGAGATGAGGGAGAAACTGCTGAAATAATCCACTAGTTTGCACTAGTTTGGTGGCTATGAGAGTAGAGAGAAGGGGATATATGATGGGTATGTTGTGGAAGCAGAAACAAGACTTAACAAATAAAACTGCATTTAAAGAGGCGAGTGAAAAGTCATGAAAGGCAACAAAATTGAGAACCTGGGTCCTGGAAGGATGGTAATTAATACCTTGAATAGAAATGAGTAAAAGTTTGGCAGACTCATGGGTTTTGAGGAAAAGATAAGTTCTGTTTTGGAAAGGAATGGAAATTATTTTTACAAATAATCTATTACATACACCTGACAACCAGCTGCTTGGGTGTACCTTAAAACTTAGACAGATTTGTGATCCCATCAACATGAATAATCCCTCCAAGAGTAGAAACAGCAAGCCATGCATGTCTTCTTATCCCATGGGATCTTGTCCATGTTCTCCTACACATCTTCCACTGAAGATCGACCTAACATGCTGGATGTCAGCATTCCCCAAGTCTTTTTATATTTCATGGTTAACAGTGCAATTATCTTTCTGTTATGAGTATAATGTAGTTCAATTGAACGTACGTTTACACAACACCGATTACTGGTGTCACGCATTGCAATTTCTGGAGCAAGTTGTGGAACTGAGACAGAAAAGAGAATTTACTTGAAACACAGTCCACAGGAGAGGCAGCATGACCACAACCTGCAGGTTTTAACTGTTCCCAGGCTTCCTCAACTGCTAGAGAAAGTGAAGAAAAAATAATGAGTTTTGTTTTTTAAAAATATGATTTTGGATCTAAATTT